TATATATATATATATATATATATATACACACACACACACATATTAAACTTCCACCCATAGCATTTGTATAACCCTTTTCTTACTTTATCAAAATAAAATCATTTTGAAGATGGTTTTAATTCAGTTAGTTCTTTTTTTCCTGGTACTGCATACACATATGGTAACTAAACATCAAACTTAATGTACTTCCTTTTCTATTCTGTAAACACACAAATGTAAACAAACATAAACAGATGTAGTAAACAAACTGCAAAATATGCAGGATGAAATACAAGTAGAACCTTTTAAGTTATGTACATCTCATCCTATAGTAATGTTCTTAGTGAAAGTCTTAATAAAAATACTAACAATTCATACTTTCTAAAACTTAAGGTTGTGTATGATAAAAAGCCTCATTGGTAAGAATTTAAGAATGATTATTTAATTGAGGTAATTTATTAATTTTTCAGCACACATTTAAAAGATTATGTGAAAATTGTCAATACAGCAGAGGACAACTTTAAGCACCAATCTGTAGTAGCACTACATACTAGATTTTGATATACTGGTTTTCAGTATTATACAGAACAAGAATATATTTACCCTTCGATATGTTTAGTGAGCTTCACCTACTTGTTATAGGTCAGAGATATTTTGGGAGCAGATCTGACCAAAGATTTTTTTTTAAAACTATCCCAGATGAATAATTACATTCCAACCAAAACTTTGATTAAACTTGGTTTGGTTTAATGATAAACTGGCAAGATTATGATAAGTATATCTATGCTTATGTTAAAAGCAGTTTCATAAAAATAAACCAAAAACCTTTATGAAATAATTCTTGAAAAAATATTTCTATCTCAGCTAACAGATTTTCAATCATCCTTGAAGAACATTAACATATTCATGTAGATGACAAATAAAAAGCAAAAACAACCATTTTAAGGAGCTTATAGCCCATTGATGTATGCATTACTAGTTTTGAAAATATAAGGACCTCAAACTTTTATGTACCTGAAAGTAGCACAAAACAATTCACTTCCAATTGATTATGGAATATATTTTATTAGTATACACATATTAATGAACTCAGATTCAGATTACCAAAACCCACAATACCTTGAAAACTAATAACTCTACCTAACTTAATTATACATAAATTTAGAAATTAAGAAAACAGGAAAAGCACGAACCTACCACCACAAATGTCGACTATCACAGAAGAATAGAAAAACGAAAAATGTATTTATTTTAACACTACAAATCAACCCTCCAGACCTCTTATATTGAAGGTGTAACTTTCTACAACATATGTTTTGTGTTATTCTCTGCAGTATTTTCCAAGCTGTTCTGCATGAATATTTGACAAAACTACAATGGTTTTTGTCCCTTAGGTAGGGAAAATGCTGGAATAAAGAAAAACACAATTAAAAATTAGAGTTGCCATCACTTCAAGGATTCACCAATACATTAACAATTTTCCATCCTCAAGATTTCATGCAGTAGTATGTGGCTCAATTCTGCTACATTGGCTTGTCAAAGTGCTTATTCCCATGGAACCTTCATTTTCTTCTTCTGACATTCTTTTTTATCCGCTATTGAAATTTCTTCAGTGTAGAATGAAAGGAAAATTCATCCAACTCTTTAAACTTTAAGACAAAGGAGTGAGAACGTAGTCATCAGAGAAGTATCAAATGGAGTTGAACACTGTTCACTTGAAACTTTGTTAGCTTCACCAGAGGGAAGTTAATAAATAGTTTCAGCATTATTGTAGTCTTTCAATACTAGCCACTTTATTATTCAATGAGTTTGTATCACAAAAATTGAGAAAACTACCACCAAAGAGTTTGCAAATTGCATGAATTCTACTGGTAGGGTAGTTGTTATGGAAAACTTTTAATTTTAAATTCAGAATTATAATTGTCAATACCATTTCTGAGGGGTACATAGGGGTGTTTTGATAAAATGCGTTGCAGAAACTGAAAGTAGACATTTTAAAGTAGCAAATAACTATTTTTCAAAAAGGGTGAAACAAATGAATCAAATGGGTTGGAAATAACTTAATTATGCCAAATTTGTTGTCATAGAAAAATATTAGGCATAAATAAAATACTTTCTGTTTTTTTTTATCAGTGTATTACAGTTCTAATGTCCATGCAAGCCTTAACCCATTAAATATTTTCTTTGTAACATATATATTTGTCACAATCTTTTAACCCACCCACTGTGGCTTGGATGTATATTTCCTAGTGCTCTGGGAAATATACGTCCCAGCCACAGTGTGTGGGTTAAATTTTGACGAATACGTATGTTACAAGTAAAATCTTTAAGCAATAATTTTTTAACTACCACAATGGACTATTTTGTTAAAGCTGTCTAGCAGCAAATAAACATATTCTGTTTATTTTCATAAAGATTTAATCATTATCATACATACTTTCAGGAAAAAACAAAAATAATGATGATAATTTTTTACCATACAATATTTTTTATTTATTTTTATAGCAGTATACATCAAATCTACAAAACAATATATTGATTTTAAGCAGGTACAGAAGTTTACATAAAATGCATTTGACAAAACAAACTACAGTGTGTTAATAAACTGAATATTGTTATTTTTTAACACTTATTTTTTAAGTCTTATAAAACTCTGAGCCATTATTTCACATTAACCTACTTAGCTTGTAACACTCACCATGTTGAAAAACTAAGTTATGTATTATTGGATTAGTTTAAGTATAATGAACATGACAGCAGCTTCTGAAATAGTGTAGTTATCACTATATTGAATAAAACCTGTACTTGTAAACAATGACACAAAATTAAGATCTCAGTCTTTTTCAGCATGCTTTAAAGCTACATCTTTTCCATCTTTCTGTTCTTTCCCTCGAAGAGTTTTTAGAACTGGTATTTCACTTAGCTTTTCCTTTGACAACAAAGCCCAATTCACTTTAGTTGGTTTTGAAAGCCTTGGTTCACACCGAATGATTTGGGTTGGAGTAACAATAACATCTACAGTAACGTCATGATCTCCAAAAAGCTGCTGTGGAAGTTCATCAAATACTTGACAGTCATGTACTGTTGTCACAACTATGACATCTTGATCAACAGCTCCAATGGTTGACATCATGGCATATTCCAGATCTGCATACCCTTCTCCTTTACCAATGCGATGACCTGTGAAAATCAAAGACAATACCAAATATTTTTATTGTAAAAAAATATACACTGATCAACACTTAGATGACTTGAATTATGGTTGCCATTTTTTGGCACAAAACAACTAGGTTATCTGCACCAAACAACTGGTAAAAACAGTGGGAGCAAAATTTTTGTAAGATGTAAAAATAAACTGAGATAAAACAAAAAAGTCCAAAAGTTGGATAAAAGATTTAAAAAACATTAAAAAGGCCAATTATTCTTTAAAAATTAAAAAAACAACCAAGTTGGACAGTGTCACCATCGCAATGACATTGTCCAACATCAGGGGTAAACTCGTAGAAAATATATGTCTAAAATGGTGCCACCACACATGGTTGTAACAATGGCACAATAGTAAAATATAGGCTATTGTAACTTGAGTATCACAAAGGCCACACATTGGTGGGTCAATACCAGATAAAAAAAAACGATGAGTTAAAAAACTGTGACCAATGTGTCGCCTTGCCACGACAACTTCCTCCTTCCGATCCTCATGGAAGCAACAAAAGGTAAAGCTTGTTATAATGTTGTTCACCCCAAGTTGAATACCAACTGTCACAAAGCCGCGCCTTGAATATAGGACCGTAGTCCATATGTGGGACAGGTACGGACGTGATTCCAGGACCAGTAGAGAGCTAAGAGAATCAATGTAAATAGTACATGATCAAGGGCAAGAAAAAAGGCATACAAATCGAAAATGAACACAGAAACTCTAGAGAAAATTCTGTGAGCAACTACCGAGCTACATCAAATCATGGCTGAGCCTACAGAGTCACCTGATTTCGAACAATCCATGTAAATGGAAATAGAAGGATAGTTTGAAAGATGTTCAGCAATGAGAATACTACCTCCAATTGGGAGTATCTGCCTTCCTCGGATGACTCAAGGAAAAGTCACAGTTGGGGATGGTAATAAGCCATGGTGGAATGGACTGATCACTGGGGACAGCAGCGTCATCTAATGCCAGACCCAATTCACCCAGTTGTGCCTGGATACGAAGGCCAAAAGGAGGAACTGTGGACCATCTGTTCTGAAAGAGCATGGTCCACCGAGGAAGAAAGACAATCCCAGGTGGGATGCTGTGGTAAGGATCATAGCTTAACAGCATACTGTAGAGAAAGTTGCAAATGATGGAGGTGAAGAGGAGGTTCATGGGACTCGGTGTAAAAACTCTGGACCGAAGAAGCCCCCAAACAGAGCTGAAGCCCCAGATGGTGAATGGGGACCAGCATCTTCAAGGGCGAGGTCCTGGCAGAACCATAGACCCATAGTCCAGTTTGGATCGAACCAGGGATCAATAGATCTTGAGCATAGAACATCAATCTGCTACCAAAGAGATGAAAGAGAGGACACGGAGGATGTCTAGTTCCCTCGTACACTTGACACATAGATTCTTGATGTGTGGAATGAAAGTAAGCTTATGATCAAAGATAAGTCCCAAGAACTTTGCCTCAGGGACCACAGGATGAACAACGTCCCCAAGACAGAGCTCGGGATTGAGATGTAGACCCCGTTGGTGACAAAAATGCATGCAAACGGTTTGGAAAATAAAAATGTGAAGCCATTTGCTGTGGTCCACTTCAACAAGCAATTCTTGAATGATGTTTACTTTTTGTGAATCCTATGAACATTACAGTCTTATCAATGTATCTGTGATATATGCATTTCAGTCATTTATATTACAAGATTCTGAGTACAGAAGATCACTATAATCATGACTGACAAAATTGTTTAATTTATTGGTGTCATTCTAGTTTTGTGATTCCAATTTCAGATGTATGGCATTCCCATGCTAAGTATCAGGAAATGGGAATAGTGAGCTCACAGCTTCAACTCATTTTACAAGTAGCTAGACTCTCAACATTTGGCCAATGCAGTGCAATTTTGCCAGCAGAATGGTTAAAAATACTATGCCCAAGTAAATGCTTATTGGAAGTAATAACAGAATATAAATCATGTAAATTGCTGAGGATATTTCCCGTTATTCTTAATGTCAGTGATTAACACAACTGTTAGAGCTATTAGCTTCTAGTGCTTTACCAGCTTTCAGCATTTTTACCATCATTTTTAATAATAAAACACTTTTTTATATTGTTTAGTGAGAAACCTCCTGTATGGAACAATTAATTCAAAAATACAATAACAGCAACTTTTCCAGTAGGCATTCTGATTTTAATGATTACTAGTAATTGAGTATCTTTTAACTTATGTGAAACAGTTACATGTAATTGTGTTTTGATATTCAAAAACATTTGGAAAGAAAACATATCACACAACATTTATACATTTAAATAGCATATATACATATTCATTAAAATTTAATAAATGAAACAAATATAACAAGTTTAATTTTTCAGAAAATAATGTTTGCTAGTAACAGCCCCAAATCTTCTAGTGGAGAAAAAAACAAACTAGCAACTTAAATTTATAAATGGTTAAGAATGTAGACCTACTGAATATTATTTAATGTAGCTAAATGATGAACACCTAGTTTTCTTTAATAAGTGACCATAAACTTATAATCTTCAAATGGAGAGATTAAAAAAACAACAAGTAAGAGTTTATGACATTATAAATCACTACTATCACAAACACAGCATATTTATCTAAGTTATTTAAATTAGGCTATGTATTTAACATTATATATAATTTGTAAACAACAATTCATTACAGGGAAGTAGACACCAGACGTAGCATTAGAAAGTGCACAACTGAAGAGGGAGGACATTGATAAGTTAAGCTCTTACAGATTTTTGAGTTATTTAATGTTGTTATTATTATAATTTATAGTAATTTGAGTTAAATAACACAATAATAATAACTAGATATAGTAAGATTGGTAATTAAAAGTAAGACAATCAAAATTTTAAGTTAGAGTTTAGTGGTGTAAATTACTACAAAGTTAAAATAGGCTTAGTACGTGTAATAGTACTTTAGGCTTAGGTATACTTCAACTTACTGGTAAATCACAAAAACAGGATAAATTCATTGTTTTATTATAGAAATACAATCTAAAAACTAGTTTATTGTCTCTTGGTGTTTTAAGAATTAACTTGTTTACTCGAACTTAGACCCATTAGTTAAAATTCAGCTTATAGATATAGGTAATTATAATATAAATCAGGCTAAATACATTTTATTAACAACATTACATATATTGTTCTAATAAATTATTAAGTTGTGTATAATTAAAGATAAACTTTATAACTTTAGTGTGAAGACAAAGTAGTGATTAAAAAAAATAATATAATTGGTTCTTAAACGTTAGGCTTAACAGTAACAGTGTTAACAATATGCTACTGGTATTTGGTATTGAATATTTATTTGCAGGCTACAAGTAGAAATACAAAGGTTAAGACTAGTGTAATAGTTAAGATTTCATAATTTGTTAGGTGTAACGAGTGGGTTTTATTTGTAAACTCGGGACTGGCATGTACTTTTAAGGAAGCTAATAATGAAGATATGCATTTTTTATGTAGGGTTTGTAGGTTAGAAGCAATCATAATTAAACTAGATGTGCATCAATATGTACTGGAAATCAATCATCACTTATTTCTTGATAGTAGTCTAATGTAGATGGAAGATTTTGAGTAACCTCTTTTTTTTGACTGATTTTGTGGGATATGTTGATGAAACACTGGTAGCTGCTGAATTAGTGTAGTGGGATAAGCTGTATTCCAACTGGACTGCAAGATGCAGAGATATTCCAACTCACAGTTTGGTGTACTAACCTTCACTTGGCATTGCAAAGATTGTGGAAGATGTTAAAGTGATTTTTTATAAACTTCATCAATATGCCCTTCTGCCCATCTCTTTTCTCTTTCCTTTACTTTCATACTTAATTTTGTAATTTAATTTGCTCAGCAAGATACACCAAGACACTTCATGGTCTTCCATTTTGGTTTTGTGTCTGGTTGCTTGTTGGAGCAAGAGGAGAAGGATCCATTGATTCACAGCTGGACAATGTTGATGTTGTAATCTGGGATGGTGTACCTAGGGATGTTGGCACTGCCACATTTATTTCTACATAATCTTCTTCACTGTTCATGCTTGGAGTATCTCCATCATCTTGTGGGCCCATTAGATCTGTGGTTGTGCTGGAAAATAAAACCTACTACTACTGCTAATAATAATTTCCTTCAGTGAAGTCAATAAATAGTATTTAAGATACACTTACTTCCTTGCCTACAATATAGACAGAAAAACTTTTTTTTGCAAAGTGGTGTGTATGTTGCTTTCATAATTTTATTTGCACCTTGTTCACTTTGTTATTTAAGATCTAAGAAATATCATTCAGTCATCCCTTATGTTTTTCTATATTTTCTTACACAAATCCACTGCAAAAAATAAACACTGAAGACCAGATTTGTTGTTTTTGTTTAATAAATCAGATGAATACATACATTAATACACAAAGGAAGAAAAATTGAAGTTAATACAGACTTGTCACTATTTCAAAATATTCTTTGATTTGAGGTATCTTTCAACAGGCAATTCATTTCTAATTATAGGCTTCAGTTATATAAAGGGAAAAGTCAAAAAATATTGTTCAGAAGACATATGATGCCATATGGAATGAAATGTCTATGAAGGTGATGCCTGTACCCACACAAGAAAAACAGAAAGCTATTGCTTACAGCTTCAGCAATTTGTAACAGTTCCTTAACTGTGTTGGTGCCATATATTGCAAACATGTCACAATTCAAGTGATGCTTAGCTCTGTATCACAGTATTTCAATCACAAAAGCATATTCTCGGTCATATTATTCACCTTATTTGATGCTAGATATTGCTTTATAGTAGTTGACATTAGACGATATGAAAAGAATAGTTTTGGTAAGATATTCTGTGACTCTGTGCTTGGGAAGGCACTTGAAATGAAGACATCAAATACCATTGATATACCACTACCAGGGTCAGAAGATATTATTTCCCATGTCATAATTAGTAATGAAACCATATAAAGATACATAAAT